CGAGTATATATTACAAAATTATATTTCAAACTTAAATTTTGAGCGTAGCGATGAATATATTGATTTTACAATGATTTGTCATTTTTTATTTATATGTATTTTTTTTATGTGTAGTCTATAGTTGTCAAAATAATTCTTTTGTTTTCAACTTTAGCAGCTTTTCTGGTTAGAAAGTAAATCTAGTTAGTGCATTTGGGATGTCAAATTTTGAAATTTTCAGTAGTTTTCAAAAACATCGGAAAACACCAAGAAACCAAAAAAAAAAAAATATGGGAAAACAAGAATTTTTACGCAAAACCAAATTTAAAAAAAATTAATTTTAGATATTGGTGTTATTCTAAAACAAATTACTGTAGACACATACAATTTTCACTGATTGCTTATAATGACATTTTCTATACTTGATAAAGTTTTCTAAATATTTCAAATTTTTTCAAGTTATTATTAGAAATTTTCAATTTTCAACCGTCAATTTTTTTCAGTAAACATTTTTCAAAATTAATTCAATACTTCTAATACATTGTTACCTTGGTAGTTTTTTTTCAGTTTTCAACTAAAGACGTTGCGGGAACTGCTTTTGCATTTCTTCGACGGCGCCATGGTAGTTAAAATTAAAAAATATTAAAAAATACTTGCTCATAAATTATTTTAACAAGCATTGAAAGTTCAAATTTGGATGAAATTATATATTAAATACCAATAGTAACAATCTTAGTTATATTGCTGTAATTTAAAATATGTTTGGTCGATACTTGAGATTTYTATAGTATACTTAATTTTCTAACTTTAATAGTTAAAATCATTCATGAGTTATATTATTTCTTTATAATAAATTGTATTACACTATGAATGACTCAGGAATATGATTTAATTAATTTGGAATTTTTGTTTTTTAATAATAACGTAATTAATATACTTATACTAAAATATCCTAGACCAACAAACCGTCTCTGTTCAAAATCATTTTTTGTTTAATATATTGATATGATGTCATTAAATTAAAATTTTATACCATTCATTACAGCAATCCATTAGTAATCTACTGTACAGTAGAGTGACATCCACTTATCCGATTTATTTAAAATAGTTTCATGAAATATATGTAAATCTCTAAGACTTATTCAGTGCTAATTAATTGTTATTGGAAGTATGAAATCAATATTCTTTTAA